ACTTAAAAAAAAAATTATGACTTTTTTATTTTAAAAGCTATCTCTTCTACCGTAAACAGTTATAAATTTTTCAAATTAAAAAATCTCATGCATAACTGACATCTTGAACTATGGTGATGGTTATCGAAATGACCATAGCTATGGCCAGGGTTAGGGTTAGGCAGAGCTCTACCAAGAGGGTTGGGTTGAGATTGAAATTAAAATTGTAATAGTGATTGAGATTCAGATTTAGATTAAAATTCAGATTGATATTCAGATTGAGACTCAGATTGAGATTGAGATTCAGACAGACGCATAGCTGGGGGGGGGGGGGGGAGCTGGCCGACTCTGGCGCCGACCCTAGTTGGTCGCCAAATAGGGTGGAAATTTTTTTTAAAGATGATTTTACACCGCAGTTTTTAATTATAACCAGTCTAAGTTAAAAATTGCAATTTCTACAAGCCTTTACATGCTTATTTAACTATTTTTTACCTCGATAGTTTAACTGTAAAACACATCCCCTTTAGAAACAGTGGCCGGCAAAAACCAGCTTTTCCTAGATGTGTGTGTGGGGGAGGGTGGGGGGCACTTTTTCGCTCTGAAAATCGTAAAAATGTACACAAGATTAGTTAGTCGATAAACGTTATCACATAAAATAAACCAGGGGTTCCCAACTCCGAGCCCGCGGGCGCCATGGCGCCCGCCGAACGATTCGTATGTGCTCGCCTCTCGCTATTCGACAGAGACAGAATTTTGTTCCTAAACATTATTGAAAGGTTGAAGGAGATGGAAATCGAAAGTTTGAGGGGGGGGGGGTGCAAATCGAAAGTTTTGTCCCCGGGTGTCGGGAAGGGTCGCTACGCCTCTTGAGTTTGTTCCCAACTTTTTTTTTTACTCTAGAGCACATTCTAAAATATCGGTAGGGTGGCGGGCACCACCTATTTTAAATCGACAAACTCCTTCCAGAGGCGTAGCGACCCTTCCCGTCATCCGGGGACAAAACTTTCGATTTGTCCCCCCCCCCCCTCAAACTTTCGATTTGCACCCCCCCCCCTCAAATTTTCGATTTGCACCCCCCCCTCAAATTTTCGATTTGCACCCCCGCCCTCAAATTTTAAATTTGCACACCCCCCCCCCCCCCCCTCAAACTTTCGATTTCCATCCCCTTCAACCTTTCAATAATGTTTATGAAAAAAATTATGTCTCTGTCGAATAGTGAGAGGCGGGCACATACGAATCGTTCGGCGGGCGCCATGACGCCCGCGGGCACGGGGTTGGGAACCCCTGCTCTAGCTTGTTTCGCTATACAATCAACCAGTCAACGAATCACCAATGCGTACAACAAATGTTTCTGATAAGTTGATCTTGTGTGTCACATGTATGACATTATTCTAACAAACTTATGATCAATCTATGTACCGTATCACAAAAGAAACTGTTCCAAAGATAGAACATAAAAGGCTGGTCTAAACAAATTAGCGATTGCGATTGCGATTGAGATTGCGATTGCGATTGAGATTGAGATTGCGATTGCGATTGCGATTGCGATTGCGATTGCGATTGCGATTGCGATTGCGATTGCGATTGCGATTGAGATTGAGATTGAGATTGAGATTGAGATTGAGATTGAGATTGAGATTGAGATTGAGATTGAGATTGAGATTGAGATTGAGATTGAGATTGAGATTGAGATTGAGATTGAGATTGAGATTGAGATTGAGATTGAGATTGAGATTGAGATTGAGATTGAGATTGAGATTGAGATTGAGATTGAGATTGAGATTGAGATTGAGATTGAGATTGAGATTGAGATTGAGATTGAGATTGAGATTGAGATTGAGATTGAGATTGAGATTGAGATTGAGATTGAGATTGAGATTGAGATTGAGATTGAGATTGAGATTGAGATTGAGATTGAGATTGAGATTGAGATTGAGATTGAGATTGAGATTGAGATTGAGATTGAGATTGAGATTCCGATTTTGATTTTGATTTTGATTTGATTTTGATTTTGATTTTGATTTTGATTTTGATTTTGATTTTGATTTTGATTTTGATTTTGATTTGATTTTGATTTTGATTTTGATTTTGATTTTGATTTTGATTTTGATTTTGATTTTGATTTTGATTTTGATTTTGATTTTGATTTTGATTTTGATTTTGATTTTGATTTTGATTTTGATTTTGATTTTGATTTTGATTTTGATTTTGATTTTGATTTTGATTTTGATTTTGATTTTGATTTTGATTTTGATTTTGATTTTGATTTTGATTTTGATTTTGATTTTGATTTTGATTTTGATTTTGATTTTGATTTTGATTTTGATTTTGATTTTGATTTTGATTTTGATTTTGATTTTGATTTTGATTTTGATTTTGATTTTGATTTTGATTTTGATTTTGATTTTGATTTTGATTTTGATTTTGATTTTGATTTTGATTTTGATTTTGATTTTGATTTTGATTTTGATTTTGATTTTGATTTTGATTTTGATTTTGATTTTGATTTTGATTTTGATTTTGATTTTGATTTTGATTTTGATTTTGATTTTGATTTTGATTTTGATTTTGATTTTGATTTTGATTTTGATTTTGATTTTGATTTTGATTTTGATTTTGATTTTGATTTTGATTTTGATTTTGATTTTGATTTTGATTTTGATTTTGATTTTGATTTTGATTTTGATTTTGATTTTGATTTTGATTTTGATTTTGATTTTGATTTTGATTTTGATTTTGATTTTGATTTTGATTTTGATTTTGATTTTGATTTTGATTTTGATTTTGATTTTGATTTTGATTTTGATTTTGATTTTGATTTTGATTTTGATTTTGATTTTGATTTTGATTTTGATTTTGATTTTGATTTTGATTTTGATTTTGATTTTGATTTTGATTTTGATTTTGATTTTGATTTTGATTTTGATTTTGATTTTGATTTTGATTTTGATTTTGATTTTGATTTTGATTTTGATTTTGATTTTGATTTTGATTTTGATTTTGATTTTGATTTTGATTTTGATTTTGATTTTGATTTTGATTTTGATTTTGATTTTGATTTTGATTTTGATTTTGATTTTGATTTTGATAGATTTGCAAATAGTTAAAGGAAGGTATAACATCTCGAGTTTGAATATACATGTTAGTATTTATAAATACAAATTTTGATAAGCATATTAATAAATGATGAAACCCTCGATTTTCGGCAGTTGTGTCTAAGCCAGCTCCAACAACAACCGCAAGCAAAGCCGCCAAAGCCACAACAAAGCTAACTACTTGCCAAAAACTGTATATCGAGTGTGAGGCAATCGGGAAAGGCATTGTAAAATCAACAGCTGATGCAGATTGCAAGTAAAAAGAACCCCATGTTCTATCTTTTGTTTTAAACGTTTTCTCACTTAAAAGTTATAAACATAAAGCGGAAATAATCCCCAATAAACTTTCTTCTATCTAAAGATTTAATGACCTGGTTGGGGTAGGGGTGGATTATATTTTGGACCAGGGTAAATCGTGTGATAAATCATTATATTTGAATATAATTTTAGTTAATTCTTTGAGATTAAAGTCTTTAGACTTTATGTTACATTTTTATATTTTTTTGCAATTTGTAAATATTATTTAAAAATTAATACGTACTGGTAGCTTTTCTACTTAATTTTCTTCGCTATCAACTTATGTGTTGGAATTAATTTTCTACAACAACGTTTAAGTATACGTGTCAACAGGTTATGCGCCAAATAAGCCATTGACTCCGATTTCAGCCTGCTTTTCTATTTGAATTTGCTTCCATAGCCTTTGTCCAGTCAAGAACAAACTACAAGGCAGCAGTTGTTCTAGCCCCATCTATCGAGCCCGAGGGATCGAACTCGAAACTTATCGGTTTAGCAACCAAGCTTAGGTTTAGCAACCAAGCGTCGGTTTAGCAACCTAGAGTCGGTTTAGCAATCAAGCGTCGGTTTAGCAACCTACAGACGGTTTAGCAACCAAGCGTCGGTTTAGCAACCAAGCGTCGGTTTAGCAACCAAGTGTCTGTTTAGCAACCAAGCGTCGGTTTAGCAACCAAGCGTCGGTTTAGCAACCAAGCGTCCGTTTAGCAACCAAGTGTCTGTTTAGCAACCAAGCGTCGGTTTAGCAACCAAGCGTCGGTTTAGCAACCAAGAGTCGGTTTAGCAACCAAGAGTCGGTTTAGCAACCATGCGCTTTACCGACTCGACCACGCCAATCCCTACTAGTGACTTTAATTTTTGCTCCTTTAAACTCTCTTATATATTTTCTTTGTTTATTTTCCGTTTGTTTCCATCTTACATGTTGCAATTCTTTGGTATGACTGCATTGTTTGATACCATTCCATTATTTTATGTGTGTATTTTTAATTGTACCACCTGGAGTATTCGGGCGTACTGGTCGCTTTTACTTTTTTACTAGATATAGAGAATGCTGTATGTGTACAATGGTCTGTTACAGATTATTTTTTCAGCCTTTTTACTTTCACGTACACAGAGTATAGAGGAAGTATTGTAATCGTGCACAAAAATCCTATGAAATTTTGACAGTTTTCACCGTTTTACACCTCAGTACTTAAGCATATACGGAGTAGTCCTATAGGGGATTTTTTTTTAATCGGGCAAAAATAATAAATGCAGATTTATCGAAATTTCGGTGTTCTATGCGTAAACGAGTCGGAAAAACTGGGCTTGCAATTCTGACCGTGTCTCTCTGTGTGTGTATATGTGTATGTCTGTGAACACGATAACTTGAGTACAGTTACAGCTAGGTTGATGAAATTTCATATACAAGTATAATATCAAATGTGTAGTTCTGTATCAACTTTTCTGTGTGTTCCGTTAACCGGAAGTAGAACTTATTCTACTTTTGGTTTTCAATAGCATATAACTTGATTACTGTTTCAGATAAATAAAAAAATTCACATGTAAGTAAACGATCTAATTCTCTGCATTCTATCAAATTTTGACCGGAAGTAGTAATTTACGCTATTTTCGATTTCTCAACAAAAAAAAACGAATGTAAATTTATGAAGTACTATTAATATTCCACACTATTATACATAGATAGTTTGGTGTTCACTTGGTACGCAATTCTTTTATTTTCTGTTCTATTTTAAAAAGTTTAAGTAATTAAAAATGGATTAAAAATTATGTTTATATCCTGTGGTGCCATATTTTAAATTCGGAGGTAAAGAAACATGTGAACACTACTTCATATATCCAAGTACCACTTTCAGTTATCGAAAATTATTAACAGAATCTTGAGCATACTATTTATACTTAATTATAATATTTCGTCCACCTAACTTAAACGGTACTCAAGTTATTTGCTTGTTGAGAAACCGGGTGCTTAGTTCATTTATAGAAATTCGTTCAACGGTTGAAAGAAATCTAATAATAGTACAAGAATATGATGTATATGAAATGTCTACAACATAACCAAAAACGGTTCTTAAGTTTGCTTGTGCACAGACGGACAGGCTGATTGACGGAGAGATGGACAAAAGGATAGATGGACAGACTGACATAATGATAGACTGAAGGACAGACGGACAGGACAGGCGGACAGTAGAGACGGACAGAAGAGACGGACAGAACGAGACAGACAAACGAAGAGACGGATAGACTGAGCGACGGAAAGACAGATAGCACTGCAAAGCTAAGTTCTCAGCCGAAAGAATGAGTACAATGTCGAGTTAATATGTCAGAGATATACACGGTCATTGACGGCTTTGATTTATTTTTTGCATGAATACAATACTTACTATATACTCTCTATAAACGAAAGTAAATATTAAATTACGGTAAGATTTCAAAAAAATGGGCTAAATTAAATTAAATAAAGTGGAAAAAAATTAATAACAGTTATGCTGTTTTTTTACAAGATTTTATTTAACTTCCTTACTCTGTCATCAGTCTGTCTGTCTGTCTAACGCCATAGATGGAATAGCTCGAACGACTGTTAATCAAATATAATTTTAAATATGTTTACCATTAATAACATTTGTAATGATGACTTTTCTTTTTCAGTGACGCTTCAAAATTTGAAAATTGCCTCGACAAATACAAAAAAGATTGTTCAACTGAAAAAACTATTATTGCAGCTTTTGACCAGGCCAAGATAGAGTTGAAGAAAGGCATTGCAGAATGTATGTTTTGAAACATACCATTGTGTTTTCTGTTTGTTTCTTTAGTTTTAGCAATACAATTGAATAGTTATTTTATACAGATAAAGCCCAACCAATCATCAATACACTAAAATGCTAATAAGCCTGTAATAAATCCATAAAGCACTCCATACATTAGTTATTCTAACCATGTGTAAATCCATAAATTCAATTTTTGTCGGTCTACAAACCACTTCCGCAATTCTTAGCGCCTAATCACAACCAATAAAACACTATCTTCATATCTATTTTAAATTCAAAAGGAAAGAAACAAGTGTACACTACTTCATATGCTCTATGTGGATCTTAAAATATGAAAGGGAAACCTTTTATTTTTCAATGAGTAAAACATTACGCTATATACATAACTATATTATTGTCGCTCAAAGTAGACATAAAAAACTAGTTAGCTCTGCATATTTTAATTTGTTTCTGTTGGTTTTAATGATCGCACTGCATTATTTATCTTAATCCCTATCCCTAACCATAGCCCTAATCCTTACTTCTATCCGAATCGCTTTCTCAACTCCTATCACTATCTCTTACTTATTTTTTTAATAATTTATTTAATCAAGGCAAAGAATTGAAGAAGGCAGAGACAGAAAGTCAAGCAACGTAAGCATTTTGGTCTAATTTATTTTTTCTTACTAAATAAAGTGAAAAAAACGCTTAACTAATCATTTAGTCTAAAAGTCGAGTTTCCGTTTAATGACTTTCGACTTATAGGTGTTTTTTTTTGTTTTAAATCTAGTTAAACAAGCTTAGACTATTATAAACGTTTTGTTAATTCGATCGTAGATTAAATTCAAGTTTTTTTATTTTATTTTATATGTCAACGTGTATTGTTTATTAGTGTTTAAAATAGCAAATAATTTGCAACTTCATTTTCAATAGCAAGAAAACAAAGAAAAAACAAGCGTAGTAAACGCATTTAAAAAGTCAACATGTTACATCGTGTTCTCTCTATAATGTGCAGTGTATAAACTTTTAAGATGTATTGTAATTACGAATTTATTTTTAAATCTATCAAACAGAACCAAAAAACATTCTTTTTTTTTAAATGCCATAAATGAATTAGACTTTTGTTTAAATATTTCACTAATTTATTTAGGTAAACGCAAGCATTTCAAAACAGTGTTGATATATAAAAAAAAAGAAACCTACATTTAATCTCTTTTTGAACTTGAACATTTTTTTAAAATTTTAAGCAGGTAGTGATGGGCGAAGAAATGAAACATGCATCACAGATTGCTCATCAGCTTTTTACGGAAAACAAATATCAAGATATAAACCACGTTGATATTTCTTGTGTTGTCTGAGCTTTTGTGAAATTAAATCTTTATAAATGAGTTTGATTTCGACTTACCTTTTTTAAAACAAAACTGGAGACCATAATGTAAACGAAGATAAACTAACTAAAGTTACAAGAAACAGATAAGGATTTTAAAAAGCAATGGCTTTCGTAAGAGCCTGTTTGTAGCTAAACGAATCATTAACCCTTGAAAATGTAAAGCTGTCTTTCGTTACCTGACAGCTGTTGATGTCAATTAAATGTTTACAACTTAAAAATAATTCATAAACAAATAAACCGGGAGCGATCTCCCCTAAACTTTCTCGAATATTCTTATGTAAAAAAACAGGGGATGGGTACTCGGGAAATAGACATGAATTTTAATTCATTTTAAATACTGAAACTTTAAAACATGGAATAAAATCTCGTAGAAAAAAGAATTGCACACCTCTGAACGCCATATAAAATGTGCATAATAGTGGGGAATATTATTAGTACTTTATAGATTTACATTCGTTTTTTGAGAAATCGGAAATAGCGTAAATTACTACTTCCAGTCAACGGAAATTACTCAAAATTTGACAGAAGGTAGAGAATTAGATCTTATAGTTACATGTGAAATTTTCATTTATCTCTCTAAAATAGTACTCAAGTTATAGGCTTTTGAAAAAATTCAAAGTAAAAAAAAAATACCACATCCGGTTATCGGAAATCGCTCAAAAGTTGATAGGGATCTACGATTTTGATTTAATACTTATATGAAATCAACCTAGCTGTAACGGTACTCAAGTTATCGTGTTTACACACAGACAGACACACAGACATACGGACAGAAGTCCAGTTTTCACGACTCGATAACGCATAAAACGCCAAAACGTTTATATATTTGTATTTATAATTTTTGCCTGATTAAAATAAGTCCTCTATACTCCGGATGTGATGAAGGACTGAGGTGTAAAACGGTGAAAACTGTCAACATTTCATGTTATTTTTATGCACGATTTCAAGACTTTCTCTATACTTTTTACTTTCTCGTATGTACGTAGTATAGAGAAAGTATTGTAATCGTGCAAAAAAGAAAATCGAGATTTTACAAATCTCGACGTTTTACACCTCACTGATACGGAAAAACATAATTTTGCAATCTTGTCCGTATGTCTGTGTGTGTGTCTGTGTGTCTGTGTGTCCGTGTGTAAACACGATAACTTGAGTACCGTTACAGCTAGGTTGATGAAATTTCATATATAAGTATTATATCAAAATCGTAGATCCGTATCAACTTTTGAGCGATTTCCGACAACCGGAAGTGGTACTTTTTCTACTTTGAATTTTTCAAAAGCCTATAACTTGAGTACTATTTCAGATAGATAAATGAAATTTCACATGTACGTAAAAGATCTAATTCTCTACCTTCTGTTAAATTTTGAGTCGTTTCCGTTGACTGGAAGTAGTAATTTACGCTACTTCCGATTTCTCAAAAAACTAATGTAAATTTTTAAAGTACTAATAATATTGCGCACTATTATGCGCTTTTTTATTTGGCGTTCACTTGGTGTGCAATTAATTTGTCTACGAGATTTTTTTCTATTTTTAAAACTTTAAGTATTTAAAATGGATTAAAAATCATGTCTATAGCCCGAGTTTCCATCCCCTGTTATTTTATATAAGAATATTCGAGAAAGTTTAGGGGAGATCACTCCCGGTTTATTATATACGAGAAAGTAAAAATACAAATATTCAATATTAAATAAATATCATATTTTAAAAAATTAATAAGAATGGATAATTGGATAAACGGATGAATGAATGAGTGGATAAACGGATGAATCGACGAACGGACGAACGGACGAACGGACGAACTGACGAACGGACGAACGGGCGAACGGACGAACGGATGAACGGATGAACGGATGAACGGATGAATGGATGAATCAGTTTTAAAAAAATCAATCAATCAATCAATCAATCAATCGAGTGAGTGAAGTGAGTGCGCTCACTTATTCACTCACTCACTTCAATCGATCAATTGGCCACTCGGTCGTTCGGTCGTTCAATCTTTCAATCATTCAATCAATTTAACAATAAGTGAATGAATCATTTAATGAACCGATTAATGAAAGAAAGAAAGAAAGATAGAAAGAAAGAAAAGAAAGAAAGACAGATAGAAAAATAGAAAGAAAGATAGAAAGAATGAAAAAATGAAAGATAGGAAAAAGAAACCAAGAAAAATTAAAAAAAATAAAACGGGAAAAAAAAGAATGAATCAATGAATCAAATCAACCAATCAATCAGTTAATCAATACAGTCTAATTAATATCCCAAAATATAATATTTTAATATATAGCATAAGACACAGTAAAAATTCGTCTATTTAAAATCAAAACAAGTTTAAATACATACAAACCAGTCTTGTCTCGACTTCTAACCAGAGTGCAGCAAAAAAAAAAAAAAAAAAAAAAAACTTCGTGTAAGGGCAATGTACCCACTTCACCGCAACAGAGTACAAGAAATAGGGTTTCTATGGTGTTTTGCAATATACAATTGACCATTGTCGTAAAACGAAATACTGCCTGGAGTGAGAGTATTATATGGTAAAATGGGAACAATAGAGAAATTAGGATATCAAATCCTAATATATAAAAGCCCATGTGCGCACTTTTCTCTCTCATTCTCTTTCCGCAACATATTTCCAGAGATATAAAGAACTTAAAGATATGGACTTTTGTTAAATAATATGTTGGATGTATTTAATGTACAAACTAAATTTTATTTAACGAAGGAAAATAAAAATAAAGGCATATTCGAATGTAATAACACATTTTTTAATTATTCAACCGGAAAAGTGTTTTTGGTTGTGACACAAACGCAAAAAAAAAAAAAAAAATAACCAAAAAAAAAAAAAACAATGACGTCTCATGTCGCATATTTGAACTACGGAAAGCATAAAACATGGCGACATCTTCCAATTTTAGAATATGAAGAAATGAGCGTTTTCATTCAGATTTGATTTTCCTCTATGGATCAACTTATCGGCAAATATGCACCTGGTAAAAAAGCGAACAATGACCAACACCACATTTTTTATCTTATTCTTATCCCATAACAGCCCACATTTTGGTCAATGCGGACCACTCCTCGCCCCCCATATTTTTGTTGCAGCATAAGATGATGTAAGTTTTTTCTACTTGGACTTTCTTACTTTCCTTCGTGCACCAGCGCAGTACTTGATTAGTAAGGAAAGCACTTGTGCAATTTGATACACGTGTCACAACAGAGTTGCCATTCCATGAACGAACAAATAAGTTGTCTCTTCGATCATGGCGATAATTTTAAAAAATGCCTCCTTGTTCTTTTGAAAATTCTTGGATATTAATAAATCAATTTTCTACTCTGTTTGATTTAACAGTACGAGTAACTCCCATTCCAGCATTAGCAAGCTCGTTTAGCAGTGGTAGCCCAGTAAAAAAGTTATAGGGGGGTGACACCAAGGCAAAACATAGCAAAATATATAGAGAAAAACTTGAGGGGGGGTGCAAATCGTAAGTTTGAGGGGGGGGGGGGGCGGTGCAAATCGAAAACTTGAGGGGGGGGGGGAAATCGAAAGTTTGATGGGGGGTGCAAATCGAAAACTTGATATATGCTTCATACTATGTTTTCCAAATTATGGCACCATAGACTCATCTACAGATGTTCCATTAAGTAGAATGTCAGTAAACGTTTGTTCAAAAGGTTATAGAGAGGTCTGACTTTTGCCATCCTGTCGCCTTGACCAAGAGCATCATTGTTTGCCAGTTGTAGGTATTTCATGAGCTGATTAAATCAGTTATATTTCTACTCATCGTCCTACTGACTGCTAAGTTTAATGCATCTTCTTTCAGCTCCCAGTACCTACTACGACGGGAAGGAATAGCATATCCAGAAACAAACAATATTGCCAGAAAAAAACGAATTTCACTGTGTTTAGTAACAAAAGTATGATCACTTTTAGATCTACCGAAACGAATGGTTTCATTTATGATGTGATTTATGACATCATCGTCGAAAAATCGTTCAAAATCCTTGACAGGGGTAGAGTCCTCATTAAAAAATTCATTTATAGCCTCTTCCCATGGCCTCAAGTAAAAGTAAAGTTCCCTTTTTCAAACCTGACGGTCTATAGGACAGGTGAAGTAGAGTTCACTTGTTTCTGTGACCTCGGCATACGAAGAGATAGTGTGGTCAGCGCTAAGCCCAGCCGCCTTTACTTTTCCTAACGTGAGTTAGGTACCCATCAGAGTTGGGTGGACTCAGGGACGGTCTACTGAATTGAACCCGGGACTTTCGGGCTAGCAGTCCAGCTCTCTACCGCTAGACCACTCCGTCTGGGGATGTTCTCTTTTCTCTACAGTCTCGTCTCTGATGCATCGCTTTTCGTGGTCTTAAGTTTCATCTTTGGAAGTCTTTCTTTGTTTTCGTTATCCTGGGATTTCTCGGCTTGCTAATATTTCTCGTCCTTATCTTCTGGTTCTTGTAAAATATAAATCATGTCAAACATACGCTACTACGTTTAAAAGAAGAAAATGTAAAATGCAAGGACAAAATAAACTGAAAAACTTATAAAACACTTTCCCACCGGCTTGTTCTCTTTTCCCGACATTTTGATAAGTTTAAAAAAAAACCGGCGCTCTAACTTTTTTTAAAAGTTAAATTTTGCACATGAAACAATTTAAAACAAAAGTAGACCATTTCCAAAGACAATCCAGATAGTAAAACTTAGAATTCAGATAGTAAAACTAAGAACAAAGATAGTAAAACTAAGAATCAAGATATGAAAACTAAGAATACAAATAGTAAAACTAGGAATACAGTTCGTAAAATAAAGAATGAATTTTTATATTACAATTAAAACTACGGATAGTAACACTAAAAATCCAATTTTATAAAGTAAGAATCCAAAACTAAGTTTGTTTATTTAAAACTAAGACAACCAATAGTAAAAATGAAGAATTCAAGTAGTAAAAATAAAAATCCAGATAGTAAAAATAAGAATCCAGATAGAGAAACTAAGAATTGTTTATA